CATCTGTGGATCATTTCTAAAAAATAAAATAAAACCCTCTCTGACAGAAATGCATTATCTGGGAGGATGGAGATCTGCAAAAGCATCAAAACCAACTGGTGTTCTAATGTGCATGTAATCAACCTGCATCACAGCCGTTATATACGAGGATGTGGACGGCCCTCGCTACATACCGCCTGATGTAATGGTTAAAGCACACACTGCCACAACAATGCACCTCCACACACACACATATGCACACTAACAGCATGTCGCGCCCGCTGGCAGGCAGGTGCAGCCTCTGAGCGGTCTGCCAGACAGCCTCCGGTGCAGGAAGCCAGCCAGGCTCAGGCACCAGCCGCGCTAGCCGCTCAGCTAGCAGGTTGCATGCACACACCATCCCTGCCTGCAATGCGTGACACGACGAGCGCCGGGCGTGAATCAATCACAAATGCTAATCACGGAGGCACAAACACACACACACACACACACACACACACACACACACACACACACACACACACACACACACACAACACACACACACACACACACACACACACCACACAGAAACAGTTATTCATGGAGGAGACGGTCCTTTGTCTCCGTGGAAACACAGATGAAAAAGATGAAGGATGCAGAGATAGATAGCTCACCGGTTTGCCTTCTTCCTCGCTCTCCACCTCTTTCAGCACATTATCCAGGCTAAGTGTGCGCGTGTGTACGTGTGTGTTGTGTGTATGTGTGGTGAGCCGGCGAGGATACACACACTGCTACATCCCTCCTCTCCCTCCCTCTCTCTCTCTCTCTCTCTCTCTCTCTGACAATCCTCCGCTTTCGCTCTCCTCCCTGGGATTTATTAAATTATTTCTCCTCCTCCCTCCCTCCTCCCCGCCTCCCTCTCTCCCTCTCTCTCTCTCCTCACAGCTGATAAAGTCGCCTTTCTTTTCACAAGCCTCTCTCTTTTTCTCGTTCTCTCATTACCCTCGATGAAGCGGTATCGCTCTGTTTTTTTTTTAAGCCTGACAGGCTCTGACAAAAAAAGGAGAATTTAAAAAAATGGAGTGCCTGTTTTGTGTATTAAGAGCTGATATCTGCACGGTACAATGGTCCTCTCTCTATCTCTCCCTCTCTCTCTCTCCCTGTCTTTCACTCTCACACAGTGTCCCTCACCCGCCTGTTTCTAGTGTGATGCAGCAGTGCTGTAAGCTCCTCCCTAGAGGGACAGCGGTGCCACACAGCTGAGAGAGAAAGAGAGAGAGAGACAGAGAGAGAGGGGATGCTGGGAAAATCTGGTGGCTGAGAGAGGAGGAGGGTTGGGCTGTGTGTGGGGGGGGAGGGGGGAGGCGTGGTTTGGGGAGGTGCGGGGACAAGAGGGAGGGGGGAGGTTGGTGGCAGGAGAATCCGGTGCAAGGCAGGGCAGCCTGCACCGAGAGCATCATCCAGGATCTCAACACTTCCACCTCCTCCCTCCCTCCATCACACAGAGGGGGGTCTGTTCACTCCTCTCACACACATTTACACACTCTGAACACACACACACAGACACACACACACACACACACACACACACACACGCACACACACACGCACACACACACACACACACACACACACACACACTCAAGATGCTTTCAAGGGAAGCCTTTTGTTGAGACAGATTTCTACATCAACAAAGAATTTTATTTGAATGAATTTCTTAGATTTAAAAAATGGCGTTTAAAACAACAATATATTGGAATTTGGTTGGTGAGTTTTGGCGCCCACGGAGGGTCTCCCCCTCTTGGACAACGTGTATTTGTTGACAATCAGAGGGCGGAGAAGCCGACAAAGTCATTGTGAGAAGCCAAAGGAGCACGTCGACTGACCAGGTTCAGTGATATAAGCAGATATAACAGATGAAATCGGTCTATGCTAGCGTTGTTAGCAAACTGTTAGCATGTGCAGTATGTGTGCATTCAACAGTTACCATGACAACTGTAAGTGGCTACATTGGAGAGGCTCATTTATAACATGCTAGTTGAGATATCGTACAATCGGGTGTACAAGACACACTTTTAATACCTCTCTAAAACATTGACTGCGTCCTTTATCCCGGTGCGAGCATTACTCCAGTGTGAAATGCTAACACGCTCAACGTTGTGGCCGTAAGTGCAGCAGCAGCCGCCATGACACACTGCAAGGGATCTGATATGATTGAAAATTCACCACCATTAATAGTGTACTGCTGGCTGTGCTGGGACTGACCAGACCAAACTGGCAACCCCCTTTTTTAAGATCTTTTCTCCCTCATTGGGTCATAGTCCTGGCTAATCTGGCGCGTCACGTTGGGCCGTAACGCTCATGGGCTGTGAGGACACAAAGTAGGAACCAATAGCAGCTGCTTCAAAAAGTGACATAGGTGTGCACTGCAACTCCGCGTCTTGAGCTCAAAAGTTGAACAAACTTAAACTTTTATGAGCGCCCAAGTTAAAACGTGTAATCGGGCCCAGTGTTTCATACACTCACAAGGACAAAAGTTAGAAACAAGCAAGTAGCTTAAATTCATACACTAAAGTAAACGAAACAGCAGCATCCCTTTTCAAAGACATATGACAAGACACTCGGGTGTATTCTGCAAAATCAACTATGCATTTGACCTCCATTGTAACGGGCTTTGTAGCGAGCCTCAGCGGAGCCAAATGTAAGAAAATAACACCAAAGAATTCCAGAAGTGTTTGCGAGGCCGGATCCCACATGAGAAGTTATGTTAATGTGATTTGATTTTTTTGAGAACTGGCTCTTAAATGTTTCAACATCTTTACAAAGTATGAGCCTCTAAATATTTAATCAGGAGATGTGAATGCAGAGTTAGCCTTGAGAACACAGAAAGTTACAGCACCTCCCTCCAACCCTCACTCCTCTGCGAAACAAACATCAACAACGAGAAAACACAAAGCAACTGTGTGTGTGTGTGTGTGTGTGTGTGTGTGTGTGTGTGTGTGTGTGTGTGTGTGTGTGTGTGTGTGTGTGTGTGTGTGTGTGTGTGTGTCTGTGTGTGTGTGTGTGTCCTACCGACAGGATGACAGTCACACTCTGCTCTTCACACAGTAAACCAGCAGTGATCTGCCTCAGGGAATAGCACCAGGTTCTCCTCCGATCAAATGGACGGACACACACACCGAAGCACACACACACACAGGCTGCTGAAACATGCTGTCACAGCACATAAAGAGCGAGCGAGTGCAGCAAACAACATGAGAGGACGTGAGAGAAAAAGACAGAGAGCAGAAACTGCACACAGGGACTGGTTTCATTACACGATAACTGAACTGATATTTATGAGGCCTGCAGAAATAAATATGACATGGAGAGGAGGAAACGATCTGTGGGAAAGGCTGCAGAAAGATTTTTCTGCATATTTTACAACATGGGGGCGACAGTAGAGGAGCGGTTAGTGCACGCAGACCAAGTACCCGATTCCTAGTTCTATCCACTTTCCTATCTCTAAAGAAAGGCCCGTTTTACTGTCTGGTCAGGACAGAAAGTAGCATCATGTAGTTTTTCAGTCGTTCTTTTTCACTCAAAGAGAACCTGCAGGAAGTTCTGAGGAGTAGTGACGCTGTGGACGTTGAGCTAATTGTGCTAACTGATCAGCACAAACAGGGGAGAGTCTCTGCAAGGTGAGGGTCACATCACACATGCAGAGATAGCACTAGCGAGCTAATCTGCTAGCTGAACACAACTGTCTGTTTAAGCTATTTTTACAGTGTTTTTAATCTGGTATCTTGCCTTATTAGCGCTGGGCTAAGTTTGTTAGCATTCCACCGATCTCGGTTGCTAACTGGACTATAAAGGTCTCCAGAGTTTTACCCCCCATGAGTGAATCCACTTACAGCTGCTGTGGAGAGGTCATCGAGACAAACTGTTTAATTTGCACGGAGAAACGTTTCCTCCTCTAACAGAAGAGCTGCTGTGAAATTGGCTGAGCACCGCCGAGATCCCAGGAGCACGAAGCGTCTGATTTTAATGAACGCACGTCCTCTCCTACAGAGTCACTTTAGCGTGACGAGCTAAAGGGGACTTCACGCCATTAAGAAACAAAAACAGATTTAGAAGAAGAACTAATTCACACCAATAGCAATCAAATATAAATAGTTAAAATAATAAGAGAGTAAAGATAAAGTTAGGAGTAGCTAAAAGAGAAGAGCCTCCTCTTTTTCTTTCTTTTCACCGCACATAAAAGCCACTATGACAAAAGCTCGCTTTCTGCCGACCGCCATGGCAACCCCAGCTTGATTCACAGGTACCTCATCACACCTGCATGTCGTACCAACATGAGGAGATCTGTGTCGCTCAGTGTGGCTGCAATAAACGTATAAAGCCCCTTGTCCACCTGGCGTTTTCCCCGGGCAGAAAAGCGCTGGCTGTGCGCTCGGTGGCGCTTGCATGAAGTGTTCGTGCGCTGAGAATAAAAGCGCTGAGCGTCTGTCCTGTTTCTATGACAACAGACTGTTGACAACGGCCGCTGTCTGACCGACACTGCTCAGTTACTTTTTACTGCATGTTTTGTATTTGAGATCGTTTATTTCCCAATCAGACACGGAGCGAGGAGGATGTGGGAACGAGACACGATCAGTTGCCGGCCAAAATACGGCGAATATCTCTTATTATGAAAAGAGCGCTGGTGACGTCAACAGCGCCTTTCTGACAAGGATTCTCACCTTGAAGCGCTAGGAGCCGCACAGAAAGGCAGAGCGCTCAGAAAAAAGACGTGGGAGCTGTGCTTTTTGTCTGGGCCGACGTCTGCTGCTAAAAACGCTCTGTACAAATACAGTCCTATGGAGGCTATAAGAGCAGCTTGCAATCTGATTAACCCGTTGAAAACCTGCAAACCGTCATTCATCTAACCGCCTGCAGCAGAAACACGCTTGATTGCATTGAGTCTCTGAGGCAGCAGGATGGTCGGTCCTAAAACAGCAGAGTGTTCTGGAGCTCCAAGGAGAAGAATCTAAAGAGCTCTCACCCACCTACACTTTGTACTCACACCACAGCCCGGTGGCAGGTACATACAGTACAAGCTTCACCTGCTTTAACTCGTGTTGCCATGACGACACAGCATCAGCAGTCTGCTTGTGATTAGGAGCTCTAAAGAGAGAGGTCAGAGAGGGAAAACAGAGAGCTGCTGTACTCACTGTCCTCTCCGGGGCAGGGCATGCCCGGGCGCTCCGGGATACTGGGGAACACTGCGAGAAAGGAGAATCGTTTTAATCTGATGTTTTTATTCTCCTGACATGAAATAAAATAATGCACAGGTCCTCAATAGAACAACATTTAACAAAATTAAGTGCTATAAAGGTAAAAACAGAAAATTAACAACATCGTCAAGCAAGAATAATACATTATGAAACTATGAGATTTTACTGTTTTATCGCCTTGTTTATGAATCAAAATATACTCCCCTAAATTCTCTCGTGCATTGTAGTAAATAGAATAACAATGATTCTGACAATAATAAAGTCCTGTCTGCTTTCTCACCGTGCAGCAGCAGTCCAGACTTCTTGGTCCGGTTGTAGATACGAAAAGCCTCCTCCAGCTCCATCTGAGATGAGATCGTACAAGGGTCCCCTGCACACACACACACACACACACACACACACACACACACACACACACTTTTTTAATGTAAAGTCTAGGCATTGGCTTCATGTACCCTTCAGAGGACATACAGCAGCACTGTAGATCATTTACTACATGACCAGAGTTACATTTGGACTTTTATCTTGTTGCAAAAAACCACAACTTGATTTAGACTTAGTGATCTTACATACAGTATGCTTGCTACACACTTAACATTTTTAAAATCTTAATTGACTTAAAAACTGTGGAAGACCACAGACATGATAACTGCTCCTGGTTTTCTTGATATTGTTTTTTTTTTTTTTGTTACATTTTTTGGGGGGCTTTTTGTGCCTTTGATGGAGAGATTGGACAGTGGATAGAGTCAGAAATCAAGTCCATCCTCTCCGTCTTTTGCCTGCTCCACTTTTCAGAAAATGTGTGCTCAAACAGGCCGTTTGGAGATTTTCCCTTCATGACATCACAAAGGGCAGTAGCCCCTCCCCCAGGTGGGTGACACTCCCACAGCTAGGTGTTTGTTCTGCCCTCTGAGTCTGCCTTCTCACCGTAAAGAATAGAACATGGAGCGAGAAAGCCTGAGGCACCCAAGCCCTTCCAGAGAGGGGGCGTGGTCAGACACAGCTCATTTACATATTTAAAGGTACAGACACAGAAACAGCCTGTTCTGAGCAGGGCTGAAATAGAGGGGTTTATAGGCATGATCAAATACAGGATCAGAGTGGATTTAGAACAAGACACTGCACACACATGTTTTGAGGAGCTCTGAGACTTATTTACACTGATTGAATAGGGGGAGGATATGTGACTTTTAAACTCCAAAGAATGATGAAATTCTAGAAAACACAGATCCCCCTGTGTCTGCTGGTGTTCACAGTACAGTAAACATCGTTGGATTTGAGCTCGTCAGGTCATTCCAGCATCACTGTGATGAATCTCAATCTGGCGTGCAGCCCAGTAAACTGGCTCTCCGCCCTCCACACTGCGTCCCTGAGCCAGAGTTTATCGCTTGTGTTAAAGGACGGCGCAGGTGTGTGCAGACTGAGGAGGAGTACCTGACGGGAGGAACACCCACCTTCATCATCGATCCACTTCAGTGTGATGGGCTGCTGCCTGGCAATGCTGCACATCCCTCTCACCTCCACACACAGCTCTGCAAAGGTTAACGAGGCTGCCAGGTCTGTGATCAGCATGTCCCTGAGTACACACACACACACACACACACACACACACAAAGTTGAAGTCACTTAGAAATCCATCAGGAGAATCTAAAAAATAAATCATCTTTAGTCACAATTACTGAATTTCAAAGTGCTCCCCCTATAGGATGATTTTGTCTCTTCAGGTGTGTTTTACTCCTTGCTCTTTGCACAACAAGTTTAAACACAAAGTCTGAGGGATAAGAACCCAGACTGTAAATATTTACCGACAAAGCCTGAGTGACATCCCCCGTCTGTTCCTGCAGGGGGCGCTGCCACTGAACTTTCAGTCAACCTAACGACAGGCTGAGAGCTGGAGCTGAGGCGGGTTTTAAACCTCCTGACAAACCATTACACCACGCCCACCTGTCAATCAGGTCAGCTACACGCCTTATTGTGAATAACTCTTATCCTTCATCAAATCAAAACTGATGAGTCATCAAAACATTCACCCCCTGTACAGTGTGTGTCGATCGAGACATTTGGTTTTTTGAACCAGGCTGTAAACATGTTAATCTCTGCTGTAAAAACAGGCTTTTTAGAATGGGTGTGTATGTGACTTCCTGTGCTTCTGCAGCCAGCCTCCAGTGGACACTCGAGGCACTGCATGATTTTCGTACTTCAGCAACGCCTTCAGTTTGTTTTGCAAACTCTGTCAGTGTTGGGGGTCTTGACGTCCTGAAATGTTCAATCCAAACTGAGGTGTTATAAAACAATACCATCTGCTGTTTTAATCATAGATAGGATTGAACAGTAAACCAAGCTTTAAAAGAAACTTCAGATCTTCAGTCATATTTGTAACAATAAGCTGCAGTGAGTGAAAGAGGGAGAGCGCTGTCTAAATTCCACAAACACATCTCCAACATTTCAGGAAGGTATGTGTGCAATTTAAACAGTGTGCAGGAGTTAGCATGCAATATCTGTCAATTAAAAACAATACATTTCACGTTATTAGTTGCCTAGGACTTTTGATTTTTAATAGTATTGTACTGTTCAAATATCTGGTATCGTTAAAAAACCCTAATCCAAACTCCATTAAAAAAAACAGCATTTTTTCTTGTTCGATGTATTGCGGAAAAAAATTGCAAAGCATACATTTTCAGCTTTTTTTTACATAACTTCAATGTTATTTCAGTTTAATTCAACACAAACAACATGATGACACAATTTTTGCTCAGTTTGGATATAATACATTAAGAGGATATGGACACAATATCCCCACCAAATCTCATAAGGATTTTGATTGCGCTTATGTTACCTGTTACCTGCAGCCATTAGTTATTGCAAATGCTTTGTGCAGCTTGCATTGCCTTACACATACGTATCATATTCTCAACATCGATTTGTCCAGATCCCATATTGATTTTGGTTTTATCAACAAGCCTAACATGTTTTAATAACAGCGTAACTTTATGTCACAGAGGAAGAAGCTGTAAGACTAGAAAAACTTAAAAAAGAAGAAGGAGAAACAGAAAGCACAAAGGTTCATATCACAGCTGACCTTCAAACACTCTTATCAGGGCATGATTATTTTAAATAAGGGTGTGTGTGTGTGTCTGTGTCTGTGTGTCTGTGTATGTGTGTGTGTTTGTGTGTGTGTCTGTGTCTGTGTGTCTGTGTATGTGTGTGTGTGTGTGTGTGTGTGTGTGTGTGTGTGTGTGTGTGTGTGTGTGTTTGTGTGTGTCTGTGTCTGTGTGTGTGTCTGTGTGTGTGTCTGTGTGTGTCTGTGTCTGTGTGTGTGTCTGTGTGTGTGTCTGTGTGTGTGTGTGTTTGTGTGTGTCTGTGTGTGTGTGTTTGTGTGTGTGTCTGTGTGTGTGTGTGTGTGTGTGTGTGTGTGTGTGTGTGTGTGTGTGTGTGTGTGTGTGTGTGTGTGTGTGTGTGTGTGTGTTGTATGTGTGTGGGGGACTGTGGGTGTGTAAATGCTGAGACATGCAGACAGTATGTGTGTTTAAATCTGTAAAACAACTGAAACACGCTGCTCTGTGTGTGTGTGTGTGTGTTTATGGCGAGTGTGTGTTGGACTCTGACAAGGTGGAGCAGAGACAGCTTGCTTCCCAGCAGGCTTTGCTCCACACTGTTAACAACCACACAAGTCAGAACACACACACACACACACACACACACACACACACACACACACACACACACACACACAGAAGCCAGTATTTTTTTGTATTTAAATCAGAGAATTACTGTAACCTGATCGGTGATGTTGTATAAACTTTTCTACATTTTTTCAGCTGCTTATCTCGTTGGTATTTTTTATACTCGTTGTCATTAAATGTATACTTTAGTAAATTGATGCTCCTGGAAGATTTTTATATCATTTAACATTTCTAAAATCTCAGGAATTGAAAATAAAAAGGTAATACTTCTCAAATGATGAGCGAAACACAAACAAACAGACTGAGCTAACGTTAGCAGCAGCTCAGCTCGCAGCCCCCTTGGGTGTAATTTGCCCGCAGAGGCTTCTCCTTATTGTTAACGTTCCTGTGACTGAGAGGTCGCCTGGTACAGTCAGTATCAGGTGTAGGAGGTGTAACCAGCACACAAGGACAGTTGTTCAGTATTTGAGGTCAAAGGGACATAAATATTCTGATTAGAGGGTTCAAAGGTCAACATGGTTATGCTCTTGTTCAGACCGTTCCCTCTGTGAGCGGAGCAAATACTTCAAGGCTCGGCCTGTCTTAAGTGCTGACTCTCAAAGATCTTTGAACATACATCTGAACTTAACAGATTTTGATTTTTAAAGCCAGTAGAGTAGAAAGTACAGAGCCCATGTGATAACTTAGATGACATTAAAATAACCCGTGGCCATGAGTGAAGTCAGTAGGGATTAGGGACTGTTCATCGTTAGTTTTGTTTACTCCTTTTTATGGGTTATAGATTAATTATAAATACCGGTGACATCAGTTTACTATAAGACTGTAAATAGTTTAAAATACTGGCAGAGTGATACAACCGTCAGGATGAAGCTAATCCATCGCACACTCATTGGAGGTTTTCAATGAAGTGTAATCAAAGTAATTAAAGATGTCTGATCATTACGTCAAACAGAGCGGCATAACAAGATGTTATTCAACATTACTTAAAGGAGCAGTATGTAACTCTGACACCTAGTGTTTAAAATGGGTCTAGATTCTAAGCATTGTAGAGAGCTGTCTCCCCTCCTCTCTAGAGTCGATGCTCACGCAGGTCACCATGTGGTGGACACTGAAGCTTCAGTGTTTATCCAGCTCTGCATGGGTCTGTAAACCTTTCTGTGTTCTAACCTCTCTCCATTTTTCAAAAGCTTCTCCAATATTGATCCTAGTTTGAGCACGTTTCTGCTCGTGGAGCTTATTAGAAACATGCAGAGGCTTTTTAGGTCGGGTACAATCACTTCTATCTGAACCACTTCTCTTGCCCGCTTCCATCACTGCAACACCTGTTGGTTTGACCTGATAACTGCTCTCATATCTGGCAAACCGAGGGGCGTCCAAAACGGCTGTGTGGGGGTGCCTTAAAACCGCCTACCTACTAAGGTCAGTTTATCATTTCATTCACTGCATATCTTACTGATTGGGCCTTTGAACCATGAGTTTCTTTTAGCATACTGACTGGATTAATTAACAAGCTGGCTTTTCATTCTCTGCTAATCATGAGGAGCAGGAGTCTGCCAGGCCTCACTGGACCCTGATACTGTTAATCCACACAACATGCACTCCGTCACAATTCAGTTCTATAATTCATTTATCAAGGCAACATTATTGGCTAATATAAAAAATATACCAGGATACTATCTGTGTCTCTGCAACAGACGCATCAATATACTCATTCTTAATTCAAGTAGAAGTAGGTAAAGTCTGTGGTAAAGTTAGAGGTGAAATGGATTCCCGTATTTTTGGGTCCAATTGCATCACGTGCTGCAGCAATACCAGCTTCGGCCACTACGTAAAAAATTGGCTTCAAATGTCAGCGAACTTCCTGTACATTCATTAGGTAAAGATTATTCTTTTAAAGAAAATAACCAGTATAAGAAATACACTTCTTCTTTTCTGAATGTTGTTGGACACAAGACGTACTTGTTTATTTATTCACATCTTTGTGTACTTAGTAGCTTTCACCCTAGTCGATTGAGGTGTTTATTTTCCACCTCTGTTGTCATGATAGTTTTAAGCACTTGCCTTTAGAGTATTTATGTTTAATAGCATGAATGCATTTGTGCATGAAGTCCTCACTGAATAGATATGTGTGCATGCTGTAGGTCTGGTTGTAAGGAAAACGTTTGGGCTCACCTGAAAAACTATGCTGAAGTTTCTGTACTGCTCTGAACAGAAAATAATATTTAAATAAAACACTATATTATAAAATCCATTTTTTTTCACAAATGCTCGTCTTCTCTCTCCAGATGCAATCATAAACATTTAAATCCATCCATCCAGTCCCGGGCAGTCTGGGACCACTTCTGCTCCCTGCACTGTTTGATATAGTTTGTTCTGTTACACTAGTTATTTTATTTATTTATAAGAAACATTAGTGTATTACCATTTTATTCACGTTTGTTTAGCAGTATTTTTATTTTAAAATAAATAAATTCTGGTAAATATAAAGCTGTATGCAAGTTTTCTTTA